TTACAGACAATGCTTTTCTTGGATGGTGAAATCACAGAGCAAGTGGAGTAACGATAAGAAGACTATCCTCAGATTCTTCGGCGGCTTGCAATTATTCTTGTTTAACAATTATTTTGGATGTACTGTATTGTTGTAACTATTCTTTTCTAGGTTTTTGTTAGACTTCGATAAATTCTTTTTGGCTACATATCCGAGAAAATCTTGCGGTGTTTTTGGGGATATATATTCTGTTATATGTGATATAATTCATTCGGGAAAGTCCTATCAGTTGGGTAGAAAATTCCACCTTTATCTCTAACTAAGTCTATTTGACATTCCGTAGGAACTCAAATTACTACAGTTGGGTAAATTGATATTTGTAAAATGAAATACATAAATAGATCGATATTACAATAAAAATACTAATACAGGAATTAGGATAAGAACGAATATGCAGAGGCAAGACAATCTCTATCTTTAATTCTGAAAATGCCACGTAGTGTGACGGTTGTGTGACGTTCCGAATCACAGGATACAACTCCAGTCAACTCTGTTTTGCACAACTCAAGAACATAATCACATGAACGGTAGAATCTATGTTATATTCTTTGACACAAAAATAAATAAGATATAAAATTTGTGAGAGATTTGTTGTTGTTGATCATGTTGATCGAATGAATACTTGTGAACGTCTCTATGGAAAAGTGCAACAATCTTGCTTTTATAAGCTTAGCACTATGAAACGTACAGCAATGACTCTCATGTTGAATGAGTTAATCATGCAATTAAGACAAATTGATTTTGTCAACAACATACGTTTCTTGTTTCAATCAAAAATATATTTGTGATTTCATAATTATTATATTAACTAGATTCTCACCCGCATTATGTGCGGGAACATTCGTTATATATGTTGTAAACTATATTTAGCTTTTGTATTATGTTGTATATAATATGTTCTAACATTAGATATTGTATGTTTTTAGTTTGTAGGTAGAATCGATTAGTTTGAAATAATAAGGGTTTTTATTTTAGTTTGTAGGTAGAAATTCCTTCCCGAATTTCCGTACCATATATGTTTTAAATTCCATATTGGGAACGGGACATGATGGGACGGGAACATGAATTCCCGAAAATCCCATTTGAC